TAGTAGGAGTAGTAGTAGTAGTAGTAGTAGTAGTAGTAGTAGTAGTAGCCGTCGTCGTCGTCGTCATAGTAGTAGTAATAGAAGTAGTAGTAGTAGTAGTAGTAGTAGTAGTAGTAGTAGTAGTAGTAGTAGTAGTAGTAGTAGTAGTCGTAGTAGTAGTAGTAGTAGTAGTAGGTCGTAGTAGTAGTAGTAGTAGTAGTAGTAGTAGTAGTAGTCGTAGGAGGCGGAGGAGGAGGAGGAGGAGAGGAGGAGGGCGGAGGTGGAGTGTGAGGAGGAGGAGGGGGGGGGAGGAGGAAGGGGAGTAAAGATGAGGATGTGGATAATGATGATGCATGATGATGTTTGATGATGATGATGATGATGATGAGGATGATTGCTGATGATGATGATGATGATGATGATGCTGATGATGATGATGCTGATGATGATAGATGATGATTGATGATGATGATGATGATGATGATGTTATGTTGCTGATGATGATGAGGAGGATAGGGGAGGAGGAGGAGGACCTCCTCCTCCTTCTCCTGCTCTTCCTCCTCCGCCGAAGGATGTCATCCCGCGCGCGCGGGCCACAGCGCTGGGAGGGGGCCGTTGGGGTGGGCGCGCCCCGCCCGTAGCGAGGTCAGGACGCGGGCGTCGCCGAAGAGGCGGCGTGGGCGTTCCTGCGGAAGACCAAGGACAGCCCGTACTTCGCGATGCTCGTTCGCTCTTGGCCCCCGGGGAAGGATGGAGGAGGAGGAGGAGGAGGAGGAGGAGGAGGAGGAGGAGGAGGAGGAGGAGGAGGAGGAGGAGGAAGAGGAGGAGGAGGAGGGGAGGAGGAGGAGGAGGAGGGAGGAGGAGGAGGAGGAGGAGAAGGGAGAAGAGAGGAGGAGCAGGAGGAGGAGGAGGATGAACAGCAGGAGCAGGAGCAGGATGAGGAGGAGGAGGCGGAGGAGGAGGAGGAGGCGGAGGAGGAGGGGGGAGGAGCAGGAGGAGAGGAGGAGGAGAAGGAGGAGGAGGAGGAGGAGGAGGAGGAGGAGGAGAAGGAAGGGGAGGAGGATGAGAATGATGATGAAGAGGAGGAGGAGGAGGAGGAGGAGGAGGAGGGGGAGGAGGAGGAGGAGGATCAGGCCCGCAGGAGTTCGTCTGCTGCTTCTCATCATCTGCCGAGATTACTGCCTAGCTGGGTTGGGGCAGGGGGAACTCTGTGGGCGAAACTTACTGCCGCCAATTCTTCTAGCGCGGCCCGTGGCTCTCGACGGACGTCGCACCGCCCCTGGAGGCACCCCCGAGTTCGTCACGCAGCCGGACGAGGGGCTCGTGGATTGGGACCAACTCACTCTGCTACCGACCCTTACCCTTTACTTTGTCCTTCCCTTTCTGCCTTGACTGCAAAACTTCCCTCTGGATGGTGGGGATGTTCCCTATTTGGGGATTACAGGCTGACGGGATGGGGGGGGTGGGCTCCGGTCTAAAGCATCAGCTGCTACTATTCCGCGGGCGATGAGCGCGGCTAACCTCGCATTGCCGCGCATATTCTTGCCCACCAGAATTCGACCGAACGTGATTTGTTCTACTTGATCTGCTTACTGCTGGCTCACTGCTCATTGTCCCCCGCCCCCCCCTGGCCTTGATCTCTGCTAGGTTGCTTGCTCGCATCCCTCTCCAGCGGCCGCCTGGCGCGGGGCCGCTCTCCCCCTCCGCCTTGAGCCCCACGAGCATCGCTTCGACCTGTGTCAACAGCTCCAGGCCGAACTTGCTGGTTGTGTCGGCCGCGAAGATGGTCCGTCCACGATTGTTGCTGCCCACTTCCTGCTTGGCTCTATTACTGAAGAATCAGCGAGCCAACTTCCGTCATCGCCAGCTTCGCGATCTTCTCCCTCCACATTTCCTTGAGGAGTATCTTCGCCCCTGCTGGAGCTTCCTCTTTGTTCGCTTCCTTGGCCGCCCACAGCATCGACGCCTTGAACATTTGCACGAATGGCGGTCCTCGAGCCCCCCAGTTGACCGCCTCGCCTGCTTTTTGTCTGTCCCTTACAAGAAGCGTTGCGTGATCGGGCTCTTCTCGCGGCAGTGCTCGCGGCGGCCGCGGCGCCAGCCGCAGCCCAGGGCGCCACGTCGGCCCAAGCATACGCCAGCCTGGTCGGCGCGACCGCCCATCGTAAGCGGGATAGGGTTCGCCGAGGTGGCCAGCGCGACGAGAACCCCCCCCCGCTGGCGGCATAGCGCCTGGCAGCCCACAGTGCATGTATGTTTGTCGTGGCTAGTGGCGCTGACGACGCCCGACGCCTGCTGGACGGTGTCGAAGACTGCCACCTTCGCTTCGCAAGGCAGTGGTCGTGGACGCGTTGGGTCGGCGGGAGCTACCCGTGACAGCTGCGGGTGGCGCCGCGAGCGCCGCCGCGGCTGCTGATGACGCCCCAGGCGCGCCCCTTCCTCTTGAGGAGCAGATCCAGCGCCCCGTCCTCATCGTCGTCCTCATCGTCGTCCTCCTATCCTCGTTGCCTCCCTCCTCCTTCTCCACCTCCTCCTCTTCCGTTCTCTTCCTCCCCCCTCCTCCTTCCCGCCCTCCCTCCCGAGGATGGAGAGTGGGAGATCTCTCCAGCCCGGGAATTCGAGCCGAACTTCCGGTGGGCCTTCGTGAAGGACGAGGACGCGGTCTCCCCAGACCAGATCGAGGTCGCGCTGCGCTGCTGCCGCCCCCCCCCCCTCGTCTCCCTCGACAGGGTTCCGAACGAATATTTCGCGCCCCTCGTCGTCATCGACGTCGTCATTGTCGTCGTCGCCCTTCTCTCCTCCTCCTCCTCCTCCTCTTCCTCCTCCTCCTCCTCCCCTCCTCCCCCTCTGCCTACCTCTTCCTCTTTCTCCTCAAATAAACCTTAGGAAGTACTTGTGGCGTTCTTGATCTTGAAGGTAGCACACCAAAGACGTACGCGACTCGGCTCAGAACAAGGACCTGGTGGGTGCCACGGGCAACGTTGGAAAAACGAGGCCAGGACAAGAAGAGACAATTGAGTTGGCGCCCGCCAGGTCCGAGAAGACGGTATTGACCGTACTAAGAGAAGCCCAAGAGAAACCGTATTGTAAACCTGTATACTTTTTATGTTCAGTTGGTAGTGCCGTCTTGGTGGTAAATCTGAGGCTGTAAGGCATTTACTCTGCACGCGAGGTAAGTGTCGCCACTGTTTGGCGGCGCAACGGCAAGTGAATATGCAAAGAGGTGTCCCTAGCCTGAGGGTCAGAGGGCCTTAGAAATGAGCATCTGCTCCTCCCAACCCCCTGTATCCACCAGGCCCCCACGGCCAATCCCCAAGGGCTGAGTGAGGCAAGCGGTATGTACAGGCGTGAATTGAGGCTTGAAATTATTTGTTCTACACACGGGGTAGTTGTCGCTACTGCATAGCGGCGCAACAGCAAGTGCAGGGCGAGCGCTGAAGAGGTTGGGCCTCTGGCGAATGCTCGTGAGGAAGTGTCGGGGATGTAAGAGGAATGACGGGAGATAGTCTAGTGAGTTGCCGAGATAGGCAGGCATCATATCAATTAAACATTCGTGCGTGGCAGTTCTTGGGTTGCCGCCCAGTTTTTTGGTTTAGGCCACACCACTTCGGTACCAGGACTCTCGTGTTGTTTAATGCTCTTTTCGGGTTTAGCACGAACCCTTGTTGTACATCAAACTCGGAGTGATATCAGCCGTACTGGCTGCACCAGAAATCAAAGCCTGTGTAGATACAGGCTTGCTGTGTGCAGCCTGCAATAAGATGTAGGATGCATGCAGGAACTGCTAGCAACAAGTAAGGCTGGCCTATGATGGTGCTGGCCTAGGTACTGGCATCGTAGTACAATAGTGCCTGAGCTGTGGGTGGGGGTTTCTGGGTGACCCCAAAGCGTCGAAGCTGAGAGGGGCGTACCACCAGCATGTCAAGAGACTGGGAGGGTGTAGGCAGCGACAGTCGAAGGTATGAAGAGAAGGCGGTATATAAGATAATGTCGTGCACTAGGCGGGCAGCACACAGTGAGTGTAAGAGCTCTAGGCTGGTGCGCAAACATGGTAAACGAGGGCGTACTGTGCTCAGGGCCCTCCAGTGGCAGCACGCATCTATGATGGTGCTGTAGGCTGGCCTTTCTCCTCCTCTTCCTCCTCTTCCTCCTCCCTCCTCCCTCCTCCTGCTCTTCCTACCCCCCTTTCTCCTTCTGCTCCTCGTCCTTCCCCTCCACCCTCGGCAGGGCGGCGACTGCGGTGGACGGGCAGGACTGGTACTGATGCGGGAGGTGGGAGGAGGCGTAGGAGGATAGAGGAGGCAGGATGAGGAGGAGGAGGAGGAGAAGAAGGAGGAAGAGGAGGAGGAGGAAGAGGAGGAGGAGGAGGAGGAGGAGGAAGAGGACGAGGAGGTGAGATGAGCATTGAAAAGAAGGAGGAACATGAGGCGCAAATGGAGGAGGAGGCGGAAATGGAGAAGAAGGGGAAGGAGGAGGGGGGAAGGAGTTGGGTGATGCTGTGGGGCGTTCCAGGTTGATCACGGTCGTGTTTTTTTTTTTTTTTTTTTTTTTTTTTTTTTTTTTTTTTTGAGGGACCAACAAACAACCAGCCCAAGGCGCGGAACGCATACGAAATATGATGTCGACAGTTTCGGGGGGTCCTTCGCGTAAGGAGATCGCCGGCGTCAGAGTCCAGCGCCGACGACGTCACAGCGGGCGCCTGCAACGCTTGAACAGAGGGTCTATGGAGGTGGTGCGGTCGCATCGGATTTTGGAGTCGTAGTATTGCTGCGACTGTTATAGGAACGAGTTTTTGCGCCACCAGCAGCGGCAACATCAGTATCGGGGCAGCAGCAGTAGGTTGCAGCATCGCGCTGTAGTCGTATCAGCAGCAGTAACAGCAGGGAAGCAGTGCCAGCTACAGTAGTGGTCGTGGTGGTGGTGCTAGAACTGGTTGTAGTTGCAACGCCGATGCTATGCACAGGAGTCGTTACAGCAGGGCCGGTGTCTGTATCACTACACCTAGCAGTCGCAGGCCACGTAGAAGCGCCAGGGGCAGCAGTACCGGTAGCAGTGACAGTTACACTAGCAGTAGCACCAGCGGCAGTAGTAGCAGCATCAGCAGTTCCACTGGTGGCAGGCAGCATCATTGCAACCAAGCCGCCGCATAGACTCAAGGCGGCCGAAGAAACACGGTGAGTGCTACTCACGTTGGGAAGGCCGACCACCGCGAGACTACTGCGTTTCCGTTTTTTTCATCGTCCTCCGTCCGCCCTCCCGTCTATCAGGGCTGGTGGTTCGAGGAGCATTCTGGCGAGTCCGTGCCCAACGCCGACTTGCGGGTGGTAGCTACTGGTGCTGGCTGGCTTCGGCGGCGGTTCCAGAGGCGAAGAACCAATAAGGACCTCGCGATGATGACAACGATGGCGATGCCGATGGCGATGGCGATGACGACGATGCTGATGCTGATGATGATGCTGCTGCTGATGACGATTCTCTTGATGTTGATGCTGCTGCTGCTGATCATGATGATGCTGCTGATGCTGATGACAATGATGCTGATGCTGGTGCTGATGCTGCTGCTGATGATGATGATGATGATGATGATGGTGATGAGGATCGTGCTTCTGATTAGTATGATGGTTATGCTGATGCTGCTGAT